TCATGGGGACGGCCAGCCATGCTCTTCCCACCCTGTGCAGAAGTCTGCGTGTCGGAGGGTAGAGGTTAAATTAGCCAAGAAAGGGCTTTCTCTCCAGTATCCCACCAGGTAAACACAATGCCATCTCTTTCAACAAGTTCTATTTTCTCCAGAATCAAAAGGTTGTTACTTGGTCACATAGTTAAGGAGAGACATGCCTGAGATGGCTCCTGGCTTTTATCTTATGCCATCTCTTCTGTGGACCGCAGTCCACTAGGGATTAAGCTGCCAAAACTTAAAATGGATCCCCTGGTACTGCTGATGCCAGAAAGTTCTCAAGTCAGGACCACAGTGAGCGTGAGGCCCGTGGCAAGGCCCTGGGTGCTGGAGAAGATCATTGTAGGGTTCAATGACCTTGATCTTCTCTTACCATTTTTGGAGACGCTGGACATTGCCGTCTACACTGCAGAAAGCAGAAAGGAGCTCTTTTTCCTAGTTGCAGAGGACACGGTCTCTTGTCTGAAGCGGGGCAAGCTTGGATGACAAACTCCAGCCCAACCTAACAACAGAAGGAAGGGCCTAGATGGCCTGTCCCAAAGCCCAGGCTCCCACCGGGGACTGGCAGCTCCTAACGGGCTGGAATCTGTCAGGAGGCAGAGGCTGCTCTGGAGCTTCAGCCAACCTGCGGTTTGGACTTGCTTGTAGTCAGTAATGCTCACCTCCCCTCCGGCCCCCACAACCTTGGAAGTTAATTTCTTTTCTGCTCTGCTTCTGGCGCTCAGGGTGTGGCCCCAGATCCTGCCGCCTGAGCATCACTTGGGGGCCAGTTGGGCATGCAAATTCTCAGCCCTGCTCCCATCAGACAGGCCCGGTGGGACCCGGTGATGTCATTGTGTTTTAATAAACCTCCAGGTGACTGGCACCCTAAAGCTGGAGACCCCTGAAGCCCTCCCCTTCACGGATCCCTTGCTTGGCATTTCTTCTGTGGTGACACAACCCCATCGCAAAGCCCAGACATCTGTGCCTACTTTTACATTTGCCCGGGGACCACTGCACACTGTTCAAAGCCAAGCGTTCTCTGACCCCTGTTTTCACGGCCAAAGTGGGTATTTGGTTGCAGGTCCTTCAAACACTCCCCGAGTTTCAGTCATGAAGGCCGCCCAAGCCCTAGGCTCAGGACTCCGGCCTTCAGTCACCCATTTGTCTCTGGACACGATTAGACCCACATCCTGATTCCAGGGGCATCAGCCCACCCACCTGACGTCCTTCCTGCCCTGCCCTGGTGTTGGCACGGGTCCCTCTCTTTTTCCTAAGAGGTCACCATCCTGCCCCCAGCCCCTTGCCCATTGGTTCTGAAGGCTGTTTGATCCGGGGGCACTGCCTCGGGCACTATCTCCTGCCTTCCCACGGGGCTCTGGAGGCAAGTCTGTGTCCTGTTCAGCACGTGGCCAGGCCCGTCCACCTTGCACTGTGTGTCCTCATCGCCCTGGGTTCTACTTTCCTTCCGTTGTTCCCCTTTGTCCTCACTTTCCCAACCGCAGACTTGTTTTTTAGGTCATCACATTTTGTACTCTATGGATCTTTGCTGATGGCCTTGGTTAGTTTGGGAAGGAAACAATTTCAAAAAGATAAAACGAACACTTCTGTTGTGAGATACAGTGGATTTGAAACCATTCGTGGTGTCTTTTGAGGGGCCATGTACACCTGAGTCTGTCTTTTTCCAAACCCTGTGCTCTCTCACCTTATCACATGGGCAGGGATTTAGTAAAAACTGTTTTGTTTGGTTTTTTAAACGAACACGACAGGGAATCCAGGGTGAGTTAGCCAAATGAGAGAAGTTAGGGCAGACTGGATGGGACACCCTTTATTGGGTGTTAATTCTTCTCCAAAATATATTCACAAGCCAACAACTCCGGAAGCGGAGCAATGAAAGCTGTGGCATGAACCATCTCCTGGTAGAGATGCCCTAATGACACCTCGCAGAGGAACAGGCCGGTTTCCACGCAGAGGTGGGTGCGATGCTGATGCTGTGAGAGACGCACTCCTTCGTTTACTTTGTAATTGAAGAAATTACATGTCCACGAGTCCACCTACTTCTGAACGAGCTACCACCCCAGTTGCCTTGGATAGTGTCCTTGGGGAAGTCTCAGTGGGTGTCCGATTTGCTCAGCGTGTGACCTTAGTCATGTGGCAGGTGGAAAGGCCAACCCCCACCCCCATTTTCCCGCACACTCCAGAGGCGAAGGGTACTTCGGTGCTGAACAGCTGCTGCCTGCCAGCCAGGCACGGTGTCAGGCACGTACTAGACTTGCTGCTTTTTCTCTCATCTTCAGGTCCAGGGAGGTCAGGCTAAAAGTCTCCTTCCTGTGTGGTACTAGATGGTAGTCCCATCTTTAACTCGGATAAGAATTTGAAATACACTTGTTAACATTTAAGCGTGAGCGTGGGTGCTGAGCAGACGTGCCTTAAAGTGGACTTTCTTGTTCTTGCTGAATCCCCGCCGATTAAGAATCAAGTTCGATGATGGACATGAGAGCACTTTGTACTGCCCACTTTCGTACACTGGGAGAGGCTGTTGCATAGATGGCATTTCAGTGGCCCCACAACTTTAAGGGTCTCTAATGGGGAGTCGTGTTTGAACTGTTCTCTGAGTTAGAGGATGTCGAAGTTACAGCGTTATTAGGTCGAGTCAAAAGCTACCCTGGGAGTCTGCTGGACCCGAGCAGCGTGTGTGGGAAATGGGCCTTGGCTTCTATGAAACACACATAATTGGCTGTGAAGATGGCACATCGCGCCTCATTAGTCTCCCTTAGGTCTGAGCAGTATTGGAAGTGTGTAGATCTAGTTCTTGGAAACGCTGCCATGAGGGGGAAGACAGCGAAGTGTGTGTATTGAGTGATGGGCACGAACTTTCTGGGGTGATGCCCTAGTCCAGCGGTTCTCAACCTGTGGGTCGTGACCCCTTTGGGGGTCGAACGACCCTTTCACAGGGGTTGCCTAAGACCATCGGAAAACACATATTGAATATATAATTATATATTGTTTTGTGGTTAATCACTATGCTTTAATTATGTTCAGTTTGTAACAATGAAAATACATCCTGCATATCAGATATTTACATTACGATTCATAACAGTAGCAAAATCACAGTTAGGGAGTAGCAACGAAAATAATTTTATGGTTGGGGGTCACCACAACATGAGGAACGGTATTAAAGGGTCGCGGCATTAGGAAGGTTGAGAACCACTGCCCTAATCATTTGTATTAAGGGGAGGGAGTAAGTATGTGCTTGATATGGACCCTTTCTCCAAATAAATCTCATCTCCTGCTGCTTAGTTGTTGCTTCTTATTCCCAGCTGCCAATGTCTCCCTCTTCCTGTACCTCTACACTTTTTAAAATATATTTTTATTGATTTCGGAGAGGAAGGGAGAGAAAGAGAGATAGAAACATCAGTGGTGAGAGAAAAACATTGATCGGCTGCCTCCTACACAGCCCCTACTGGGGATCGAGCCCACAACCCAGGCATGTGCCCTGACCGGGAATCAAACGGTGACCTCCTGGTTCATTGGTCAACACTCAACCACTGAGCCATGCCGGCTGGGCCTTCTATACTTTTTAAAAACCAGTGTTGAGCTGTCATTAGTTGGTCCCTTCTAAACTGTGATTTTTGATAACTGATACACATCCTGACGTTCTCCTGGTAGCCCATGGCCTGTCTCTTCCTCATCTAGATCTCATGCCTGTTTCTTGGGCTTATTCCAAATCCTGGAACATTTATGGGAGAGACTTGTCTAGTCCTAAAGATGTGCTAAAATGGATATCCTCACGGGGATTAAAAAAAAAGAAGAAAGAAAAAGAAAAACTTGTCTAGCCTTAAGAAAAATGTAAAACCTAGAGCCAGTCTCCCCTGGGTGTAGGTTCACATTGTGAAGTGAGGCTTGGGTGTGAGCCTTCTTAAAGCATTTTAAGGGAAGGTGAACTTCCAGAAGTCTCCCTGCCCCCCCCTATGCCCCCCCCCCCCCCCCCAGTGACTGAGTGATGACTTTTCTGTGTATTCTCCTAAATTCATTTCATTTTGAAATAAATTTACCATCACCCCCGCTCACAGGCTAATCTGGGTAAAGAATGTCTTGTTCCAAGTTAGTGGTTACAAACTATGTTTAATTAATCCTTCAGCCACAGCCGAAGGCAAAGTCAAGGATCATGCAGGCTCTTGGTTTCCGCTCCCTCCTGGTTGAAAGCCGCCCTTGGCTTGCCCTGGAAGGGGGGGCAGTGGCCATCGTGGGTGGGGGCTGTTGACCCCAATGCCCTTTTTACAACGCATGAGCAGATCTGTTGCAAATTGAGCAGGTGAGATTATGGACCAGGAGCACAGGGCCTGCCTTTTCTTTTTTTAAAATATGTTTTTATTGATTTTAGAGAGGAAGGGAGAAGGAGAGAGAGAGAGAGAGAGAGAGAGAGAGAGAGAGAAACATCAATGATGAGAGAGAATCATTGATCAGCTCCTCCTGCATGCCCCACACTGGGGATCGAGCCCGAAGAGAGAGAGAGAGAGAGAGAGAGAGAGAGTGGGAAACATCAATGATGAGAGAGAATCATTGATCAGCTCCTCCTGCATGCCCCTGGGGATCGAGCCCAAAGAGAGAGAGAGAGAGAGAGAGAGAGAGAGAGAGAGAGAGAGAGAAACATCAATGATGAGAGAGAATCATTGATCAGCTCCTCCTGCATGCCCCTGGGGATCGAGCCCGAAACCCAAGCATGCGCCCTGACAGGGAATTGAACTGTGACCTCCTGGTTCATAAGGTCGATGCTCAACCACCAAGCCACACTGGCCGGGCAATAGGGTCTGCATTTTCCGATCCCTTTCAGAGCAAGCAAGTCAGTGACCATATGCATCTTACTCTGGAATGGAGGCCTTCTTCCAGTTCCTGTGATGGAAAAGCTCTCTCTGGCGTTCTGGATTCGCACTGTGTGTAATGACTGTGTCTGTTTTCTCCTCTCCCTCGCCCCTCGGCACCAGCACGTGTGGAGTGAGAGCGAGGACTGCCTGCCTTTCCTGCAGCTCGCACAGGACTACATCTCCTCCTGCGGCAAGAAGACGCTCCAGGAAGTCTTGGAAAAAGTCTTCAAGTCTTTCAGACCCGTAGGTGCCCGCCCGGCTTCTAAAGTCCTTGTTTTCTACCCGGATTGTCCTTTGAAAAAATGTGGATGGTGGGGAAATTGGGCAAAATCTGGGATGACTAATTGTTTGTCTCTTGTCTGCTTGGTGGCTTAAAGATAGCAGCTCTGGAGGGTGGCTGAGGGCGGGAGGGCGGGGGAACGGGATGTGACACAGCTGTTCGGTGTAGGGACGAGGGTTATTTCTAGCATCACTGGAGTTAAGAATCGCTGATAGGGTGGGAAGCAAACAGCCTTCGTGAGACAACTGAGTATCCCTGTCCTCACCCCGGAGTCTTACAGCCAACTTGCTGGGAAGTGCGCTGCAGGTCTTTACAATGGTGAGGCCTATATCCAGGGGGCGGCCAGAAGGCTACACAAAGGAGGTACCTCCACACCCGTGGGCATGAAATTGGGTGTGGGTCCTATTCTTTTTCTTTTAATTTATTTTAAATATATTTTGATTGATTTCAGAGAGGAAGGGAGATGGAGAGAGAAGTAGAAATATCAATGATGAGAGAGTCATTGATTGGCTGCTTCCTGCACACCCCACACTGGGCATGTGTCTTTGACTGGAATTGACCCGGGGACCTTTCAGTCCGCAGGCCAATGCTCTATCCACGGAGCCAAACCAACCAGGGCAAGGGTCCTATTCTTTTGTCTTTATAAACTTACCATAGAGAGCTTGTCCACCCAACCACCACCACCCGTTAGGATTTAGGAATCTATGTTTGTGTCTAGCTAGCAGTACCTTCATTCTTGCTGAAAAGCATGTAAAATGAATACTCACCCTATTGTGAAAGTGACCTGTTTCCCTTTATCATTATTGGAAGATAGAGCCAGTGGCCCCACACTTCTGCCGAGTTCAATTCCTTGCCCTCTGGACTCTATGTGGTCAGGATATTTGCTCTAGAATTTCTATTCATTTCTTTTTCAAATCTTTTAAAACAGTGTGCACTTCTCTGCTGAAATTGTCAAGCTTGTCTTCAATTTCTCTGAACATAGTAGTCATGGTTGCATGAGAGACTGTGTTTGATAGTCCAGTATTTCAAGATTTGTAAGTCTGTTTGTTGCCATTTGTTTTGACTGTTCTCACTCCTGCTATTGTGTTTCTTTGAGCGTTGGATTTATATATTTGAAAATTTATATATAAGAATAAATTGAGGCCCTTGATGAAGGTACCTTCCTAAGGGAGGTGAGGCGGGGGCTGTTTGCTTCTGCCAGGGCTTAGGCCTATTGGCCTGAGAATGCCTTTGAACAATGGCAGGCCTGTGGTTCTCAGGCTCTGCAGGTGATGCCAAGCCAGGCTGCAGGGCTGCCTCCTCCTAGTTGATCCTTGTCCTGAGAGCTGTCTTAGGCCCCACCCCCACCCCCATCAGGCTGCTAAACAACTACCACAGACTGGGTGGCTTAGAAACAAGAGAGATTGACTTCTCTCATTCTGGAGGCCAGGAAGGCACCATCAGGTGGCCAGGAGACTTGGTGTCTGGTGAGAGCCCACATCCCGGTTACAGCCATCTCCTCATCGTCACTCATCTGGTGGAAGGAGAGAGCTGTCTCTGGGGCCTGTTTTATAAGGTATTGGTTCCATTTATGAGGAATCTACCTTCCCGACCCAATCACCTCCCACCTCTCAAAGGGCCCCACCTCCTCATATCAACACCTCAAGGGTTAGAATTTCAACATGAACTTCAGACACAGACATTCAGACCAAAGCAAAGGTATAGGCCTATGGGGTCCCAGCTTACCGTGGGGGTGGTTCATCACAGTTTGTTCCTCTGGGAGACCCTGGGTTTGACTGGTCCTCCAGCTCTTAGCATAGGCCAGCCATTCAGTCAGGTTTCTAACTGCTTCTCCTCGGTCAGCAAGGACCTCAGGATAGAAGCAGGTTTACCCCTCTAGGTCCGAATTCCTCAATGTATCCAAGAAAGCACTTTTCATAGTTAATCCAGCTTTTGGTTCCCTGTGGGAGAGCTGGTCCCAATCATTTAACCCTCTATTACTACAAGAATTGGAATTTTAGTGGCTTTTGTCCACACTTTGTTGATTTGTATCATTCATCTAACCAATTTGTTTTTTATTTTTAAAAATTTCTAAGCCCACTTGGTTCAAATAGGTTTTTTTAATTTCTATTTGTTTATTTATTTATTAGAGGGAGAGAGAGAGAGAAACATCAATGTGAGAGTGAAACATCCATGAGCTGTCTCCTGCTTGCCTCCCCACCAGGGACCAGGCCCACAACCCAGGCATGTGCCCTGACCAAGAATTGAACTGGCAACCTTTCGGTGCACAGGACGATGCCCAACTAACTGAGCCATAGCAGCCAGAGCTACCTGTTTGTTTTGCCTAAGGGAGGTTGCATTTAGAAATAAGACACAGGGAGGGTCTTGCCGCTGTTGCAGTGGAAAGTATTTGCTGGAGTAGCACATGCCCCAGTGCTGCAGGGCGGTCAAGCAGGTGAGCGTCAGCACATCGTTTCCCTGAAAACGTGGTGCTTTTGTTTGCAGTCAGGGAAGCCACGTGGGGACCATTTTCACCGTAGAACAGCCTCCTCCCTGGCTGTGAGTCCTGTTTCCCTTGGCCAGCCCATCGTCAGCCCCTGCCCTGTGCAGTCTCTCTAGAAAGATAAGATCCATCTGTTGACAGCTTTCTGCTGCCGTTGGGGCATCAGTCAAGCAGAGTCAATTAAGTTTGCTGCAGCCGGGCGCTCCTGCGTGCACGGCCCAGGGCGGGGTCATCACCTGGCCTTCCCCAGCCGTCCTGCCCGGAGGCTGAGCAGGCCACGGCCGCTCTCTGCCTGTTTCCACACACCAGCTCTGTAGGCTGCGCTTCTCCCCCTTTCTCTTGTTTGCCCTCCCCCCAGTGAAAACCACCACCACCCCAATATCCGCTGTTGGATGTGAAAAGGAAAAATGAAAGTTATCCTTTTTTGCCATTTTACTCTTTTTCCTCTACTTCTTCATCACATTTTCAACCATATGTGTCGGTCACCTGCATTTGCCCAAGCCCTGCTTTAGAGAGTGAGGTCACGGCACAGTGCCCGCGCTTGCCCCCACGGAGCTGGCTGTGGAAGGAGACACAGACACAGAAACCACCGAGAAACTCCACGTTACAAGACAGAGCGTTTATTTTGGTCCAGACGCTCTGCCGGGTGCTTTCTGTGCAGAACACGCCGAGAGTTCCAGTCCCTGCTCTGCGTTCTCCGCGTTGCTGGGTCTTTAGGGAGCTGTTTCCTGGGAGGACATTAGCGATGTGAACTTCCGGGTGTTGTTTGTGCTCTCTCCCCAGTGATGTGGAATCAGGATACTTCATTGATGAGCAGCCCGGGCTCTGGGGCAGCCATTCAAATCCCAGCTCTGCCACTTGATGGCTGTGTGACCTTAGCCAAGTTACTTAACCTCTCTGTTTCTCAGTTTCTTCATTTGTAAGATTAGGAAACAATGACAGTCGTTATCTTAGGGTTGCTGTGATGCTTAAATGATGCATTTCTCGTGGGGCACTTAGGACAGCATTTACAACACTAGAATACTGTTGAGAAGTGAGCAGGACTTCGTGAAATGTTGTATAGGACTCGTAGGTTCTTGGTGGAGAGAAAAACCAATTTGCTAAGTGCTGTCAGCACATGCTTAACAGAGGCACCTGGCTACCGTAAAGGATGGAAAGAGGTATTGATGGGGTATTATAGTCAAAAGTTTATCACCATTGGTTTGGGCAAAATGATAACCACCATTTAATAGCTAATGTGTTCCGCTCACTGTGTTAGATGCATTTGTCCTAGTGCTGTAAGGAGAACAAGTGGATACTCCATCCCCCAGGGGGCGCCTGACCGCAGAGCCTCTGGATGGCAGGGTGATGGGTGATATTTATGTTCTTCTTTTCTGTATTTTCTAAATTGTCTGTGATGTCACAGAAAACATTTATAATCAGAAATTATGTTGTGTGGTTTTTTTGTTTTTTTAAAATATATTTTATTGATTTTTTACAGAGAGGAAGGGAGAGAGATAGAGAGTTAGAAACATCGATGAGAGAGAAACATCGATCAGCTGCCTCTTGCACATCTCCCACTGGGGATGTGCCCGCAACCCAGGTACATGCCCTTGGCCGGAATCGAACCCGAGACCCTTGAGTCCGCAGGCCGACGCTCTATCCACTGAGCCAAACCGGTTTCGGCATGTTGTGTTTTTTTAAAAAGCTAATTTTGTCTACACCAAGCATGTCAAGCTCAAAGGCTAACACAGGCCAAATAAAAGAGGCATGTGGCCCGTGGGCCACGAGTTTGACATGCTTGGTCTACACTGTGCTAGAAGGGCTAGGACTGCCAGGGGTGAGTGGGCTCACTGAGTAACGCAGAGCCGGCGGGGGCTTCATGAGGAGATGGGGCCTGGAGAAAGGGCAGGATCCGGACCTGCTCAGCGCAGGAGGAGGGCTGGCACCCGGGCCGGGAATCGAACCAAGCCGTGTGCCAATTTAAGTTGATTATGGCTTTTGTTTTTTGCTCACATTATATTATAAACAAACCCTTGTGTGTGTGTTTCAGAAAATACAATGGCCCCTAAAAGTAAGAGAGTGGCAACTACTCTTGCCCATTAGTCATCTCGCCACTTGCCTCTTCTTTTCCTCATATCAAGAAGACAGACTGCCCGGGTCTTGGGTCTCTTGGTACCAGCAGCATTACGATCAGTAAGATAAATGGTGGCAAATGCCCCAAATGCTTTAGCATCTCCATACCGAATGTGGCTTCAACTCGTTTATACCACTTTCCAAAAAGCCCCTATTCAGTCCTTCAGTTAATCCATGCTCTCTTGGGTCTATGGAACTGTAATTCAAGGGTTGGCATCTCTACCATCTCGGACAATCCTATTGGGGTGGATGGGCCCCAGAAGTTCTGTGTCAGTGGTTCTCAACCTCCCTAATGCCTCGACCCTTTAGTACAGTTCCTCATGTTGTGGTGACCCCCAACCATAAAATTATTTTCGTTGCTACTTCATAACTGTAATTTTGCTACTGTTATGAATCGTCATGTAAATATCTGATATGCAGGATGTATTTTCATTGTTACAAATTGAACATAATTAAAGCATAGTGATTAATCACAAAACAATATGTAATTATATATGTGTTTTCCGATGGTCTTAGGCGACCCCTGTGAAAGGGTCATTCGACCCCCAAGGGGTCGCGACCCACAGGTTGAGAACCGCCATTCTGTGTGATCATAGGTTGCTCAGAGGAAGCTTGGTGGACAGCAAGACCCTGGGAATGCCAACACTTGTCCAGAGAGAACATACAGGGTTTTTCCAGTCGATTAAAAAGGAATTAGTGATCATAACTACCAGCAGTCATTTAAATGTACACGACAGGATTTCTTGGCCTGTCTCGTTTTCCTCCTAAGACTGTGTGGGTGCGTTGAGAGGAAGGGCTCCAGGATTCTCTCCAGTCTGTTTGCACTCCTGTCTCTGATAGATCTTGACTGTTCACAATTCGGATCCAGAAGTTAAATTTAGACTTACCCGCCATGCATGGGAATGGAGACAGGGGTGGGAATGCTAGACAGTCACGTGTCTGGGTGATATCGTTTGGAATCCCAGGCACATTCTAGTTCATATGATTCTTAACTCTTTCTGTCTGACTTATTTCGATTTTCAAATAAAACCTGAACACCGGAATATGAGTCACCTGCGTTCATGGTACCAACCATCTCTCCTCTCTCTTGAGAGGCAAACTTGATGTTTCATTCCATCCACTAAGATATGGAAGGGAGGCCGTGGTCAGGGCAAGGAGCTTCTTCCTTCTCCCAACCGCTCAAGAGATTGTTACAAACTATTGGGATGAGCTGGATGTGCTCCTCCTGCCCCACCGCTCCCAGTCGACAGTGGCCCTTTGAGACAGCTCTGTACTCAGCGCTCTAAGGAGAAGGCACGTGTCTGCAGTCGGCCGTGGCCGCCCTGGCAGGCCACATGCGCAGTGGACCGGGAGTGCCAACAGACGCTCTTGCCCTGAGTGTGTGCATAGGGCTCTGTGAGACCAGCCAGAGCTGTGGTTTGAGAACTTCAGTCAAGGCATGATCATGATTGGGACTCTGCTTTTATCCTTTTCTCACTTAGGGAGTTGGGAAGGAGCAGGAAGAAGGAAGGGAGTTGGGTGGGGGTGGCGTGGCAGGGCACAAGGGAGGCAGTGCAAGCAAACAGAGTGGCCCATCTTATGTTAGTGTCTTAATGCAGTTAGAGCTTAGATCATAGGGCCATTTGGTGAAGTTGCCTCAAACTGACTGACCAAGGATGAGGTCACCGTGAAGTCCTTTGGCCACATGCATGCTGTAATCTCACCGAGGAGCCAGGGGCTGGATGCCCATGATCACGGGCAAGGCTCAGGAGTGCCCAAGGTCACGGCTTCCTGCCAACACCAGAGCTTCTTGTTCATATTGATGTAGCCCAGCTCATGGCACTCAGTTCCAACCAAAGCCCAGCCAGTGCTTTAAGAAAATGTTTGCTGTGGATTATTGTGACTTTCCCTGATGATGACTAGAGAGCATTTGGAAAATATGAAAAGATCACAAAGGAAAAAATTTACCCAGAATCACAATGCCTAAAAATAATGCTCTTAAAATTTGGATGTATTTCATTGAACTCTTTTTTTCTATGCATTTGTGTACAAACTTAAAGAAATATGTATCATAATGTAAATACATTCTTTTCACAATTGTGAGCATATTTTTATATCATTAGATTATTAAAAATACTATTTTAAGTGGCTATATAAGATTTCTATCTTCTGGGAACACAATAATTTATTTAATCACTTTGTTGAACCTTTTCAGAGTTTTTCCACATTTCTTCATGTGTGTTATAAATAATAGCAGCTGTGTTTTTAGGGGAGAAAATGAGGGGAATCGATTTTTGACATCTTGATGGGACAGTCGCACTGGTCATTGTACTGCTGCTAACATCCCAGATGTGTGGGTGTGCGTGGATAGCATATCTTTGTGCATAGGTGGGAGGAGGGGTCATGTTTTAATGCTTAAAAGTAGAGAATCTCTGGGCTCCCCAATAAAAACGAGCCCTTTGGGCCCCAGTCCATTGAAGGGTTATCTCCCTCTAATAAGTTTATAAACATAATTGTTGGGTAGACTCTCATGGGAAATCCGTAGCTGCTGTGCTGAGTCCTGTAAGTGCTGCTGAGTTTGGAGCAGATGCCTTTTGTGGCCTTCCTACCTGGGGCCTTTGGGGCTCACAGCTGCTTCTCTTCTCTCCCTGCAGTTACTGGGGCTTCCGGATGCTGATGACGACGCATTTGAAGAGTACAGTGCAGACGTGGAGGAGGAGGAGCCAGAGGCGGACCACCCCCAAATGGGGGTCAGTCAGCAGTAAACTTGGAAGGGCCCACCTGCCAAGGAGTGAGCCCCGTGGTACCCGAGGCGGGCTCGCGTGCTGCTCCTGGGCTAGCTCTTAGCAGCAGGACGCCTGACTCCCAGCTTCCAAATTAAAACGAAATACCTTCTTAACAACCACAAAATATCTGGGATGAGCTACGCTCAGAAGTGACCTGCATTTGACTCCCGTGTCAGTGGGTGTCTATGGCGTTGTCTGGGTAGCCTTGGCCGTTTCTAATTTAGAGTCCATTCTGTGGCTGACGGTTCTCTCTTGAGTTTCTGTTGGGGAATTGACACTCACTGACTCGAGTGTAGGGAACTCTGAATGTATTAAGGATGTGTTTTGAGTCCTCACAGGCGACTTTATGGAGGGAAAGCATGGCAGCGAAGAGTTGCAGTCTGCACTTTGTATGTACCTGGTGACGTGTCGTAAGTGAACGTTTTTGCTTTTAGAGCATGAGTTTTAATACCTAGTCATTACACTGCACAAGTGCAAGTACCAGGGCAGACAAGGATCGCCACTCAGCTCTGGGTGAAGAGGGGAGGGAGGGAAGACCCTCCCGGTGTGTGACCAGCCCTGAGTTACCTGGGGACGTGGCAGCTGGTTCCTGGTTGTATAAACATACTTGCCTGGTCAGTTATTTTAAAACATGCTAATTCCAAGACTTAACAGTGGAAAATATAAATGGGATGACACCAGTTACCAACTTCTTTAGACTGTTTGTAAACCGTCCCACATATGACAGGAAACATTTACCTTCTCTCTTTATAATGAGATGGCAACTTGTTAAATCATGAAAATATCTAAAATCCAAGGGCCACGTCAACTTTGAAGCCATAGATAAATCTAATGGGAAAATAAACCAGGATAACATTTTTTAAAAAATATGATGGAATCCTTTTTTCTTAATCTGTCTTTTATTCTTTTTTTAAAAAAAAAAAAAGTCAAGAAAATGATCCCACTGTAATCAAGTGCTTCAAAATTCAATTGCAGTGCATTTTTAAAAAACTTTTTTTATTGATTTGAGAGAGAGGGGAAGGGAGACAGAGAAAAGCATGGATGTGAGAGAGAGACATCGATGGACTGCCTCCTGCACACCCCCTACTGGGGATCTAGTCCACAGCCCCTGGCATGTGCCCTGACTGGGAAGCGAACCAGCAACTTTTTGGTGCATGGGATGATGCTCAGCCAACTGAGCCACACTGGCCAGGGCTGCAGTGAATATTTAAAGTGACACAAAAGTGGGAATCTTTCGATGGCAGGTTAGCTTGGTTCAGAGGGGAAGTTTGAATGATCACAATACTCAGCTAACTCACAGAGAAAAGACTGTCATCCTTTAGCCAACAAATACTTCTGGGAGAAACCCTTCGTCATGCTAACATGGACTTATTCAAAATATTCCTTTTCTTGGGCCCTTCTGCATCTCTGGTCCTAACAACATGGATGCCGATGCTCTTTTACAGCATTTCGCTAAACGTAGCATCTGGGTGGGGATGTTTTTAACAGGCGTGCCTGTTAGGTTGTGAAAGTTTTGATTTAAACACATTTAAAAAAGCAGCAGCCGCAGAGGCTTCAGAGCTTCTGGGAGTCTTGTCTGTCTTCCAGGCACGTCGGTGTAAACCTGATGGTCTCAGCATTTTCTGTTTAATTGGTGCTGGGAGGAGCCCGGCTGCTCGTGGTCAAATGGTGCACCGCAGTTTTAAGTCACTGGGTAAAATTACATAGTGCTTTCCACCCGGGCGTCAGAACCACATTTTTTCTTGTCTTGGGAAAACACAGTCAAGGTTAATTTCAAGTCAAATGAGTTTCCTTCCAGGGAGCCTATTAACAAAACAAACCTTGATGATTCATCCAATGCGGTGAACGTGCGCCGGGCTTTGCTCGCTCGCTGGGATCTGATTGGCTCGAGGCCTGAGCACAGGTGTGTGGGAAGCCGCCCCTTCTGTAGCTCTCGTGTTTGCTCGCCTTCTGCAGCTGAAATGAAGGCGCTCCACTAGTGTGCTCCACTCGAAGGTAAACTGGAATGTGTGTGTCCTAGAGGCTCAAAACCTAAATGTGCATATGTTTGAAAATGGAATGGACATGGTTGTAAAACGTTATTTTATCTAAAAGGGGGTTAGGTTTTGACTAAATGCATTTTGGTATTCTCATGTGACTGTTGCGTTTAAAACACTGAGCTGAGGTAGACTCAGCCGTTCATTGGACTGGGGAGAAAGCTGGTATTTGTTTTGCCCCAGGGGTTGGGGATAACATCGCTGTATGTTCCTTACTTTCCTGGCAAAACCTCAAAAGGCATTAACAAATCAATTGTTTCCTCTAAACTTCCTTTTCTCTGTGTCCCTCCCCGCCAGGGCTCACTGCCACACGCACCCACGTCCGGGTCGTGTGTGGCGTTAGGGTTGGCACAGCGCAGTTGCACCTGGTCGGTCACCGGGTCGAGCAGCCTGCGGTCTCTGTTATGGACATGGTCCCATGGCTGGACTTTCACAGACTCAGACACACGTTCCCAGGAGGCTCCAGGGCACAGTGGGAGGAGCACTGGCCGGGAGTTAGGAGAGGCACCTGGGTTCTAGTGCCGACTCTGCCAGTAACCGCGTGACCTTGGGCAAGTCACTTAACTGGCCTGAAATAAGGGATTTTGCCCTTCCTGCTTTAACCACTGTTCTTCCACAACTGCCTTAAGATGTGTGTGGGTCTGAAGAGCAACAATTAAGGGAAATGAGCAGGAAATAGATTCAGAATCTCACTGTCCTTAGGATCCTGGCCCCCGGCCTACCGTAGAACAGGTTTCTGTTGGTCTGTGAGCGCCCACACCCGCTGGGACCTGACCCTACGGGGCCGATGGAACTGCTCCTTAGCGAGAGCCAGGCCCCAGGAGTTACAGAAACCAGACTTGTCTCCGCTGTACATGCTCTGCCTGTGGGAGGTGTCGTCTTAGTTGTGCCCTGACAGATTGCGGCTTTGGAAGTGGAGTAACTTTAACTTAACTGAGAGGGGAAATTGCATGAAGAATAGCTGGAAGGGGTGACTTGTGACTTTTTTGCCATCTCATCCAGTGGGGGAGTGAGTGTGAGTGTGTGTATTTGTGTGAGTGAGTATGCAGCTGTGTGAACATGAATGATTGCTTGTTGATTGCTGCGGGCCTGCGAAACCTTACCACACCCTGGTCCTGGAGTTGAGTGAGTCATGGAGACATGTTTCTGATGGCTACTGGTTACTTTTCTCTGATAATCACCCTGAGCAGACTTCAGGGAATCAGAGAGTGAATGATGGAGCCAGGGAAGGAGGTGAGACCCACACCGAGGCTGCCACACTCGGATTCAGTCACACTGAGGCGTCCACCCCAGGCCCCCAGGCTCAGCAGCACGTAGTCCTTGTTCTTCAGTGACTAGAACACCAGGCCTCTTCCTTAGGAATGCCCCTTGTGTCCTGGTGCCAGCATGAGTTCCTGGCGTGCTTAAGTGGAGACCTCTGACCTCTCTAATTACTGCCGCTTTTCACGTTAGCGGAAGCCATTCTCGGGCACAGTCACGTCTCCAAAGGTCGTCTCTGTCTCCTCGGGGCACACGTGTGTGGACCTGGGGAGCTGTGGTGCCACAGCACCGGACTCTGCCTTGCATGTGATGACAGACACGTTGGGAAACTGTGGCATCAACAGCTTCCCGTGACTTGGGAGTTCCCATGACTTGGGAAGCACGCGGGAGCAGGCAGGACTTAAGTCTGGGGTGGGAGGAGATGAGTAAGGCAGAATTCGGGTCTGAGTCTTTAAAAAAGAAAGTAGAAAGCCAGGAGGCAGTTATCATGTGAGGTCCAGGAACACTCTTTGCATGCTGTCCCACGAGGAGCCTGATTTGCTCAAAGGGGCTGCCTGCCCAAGTGTTCAGAGGCAAGGTCCGTGTTTGAAAATGCCTCCCAGCCAGGGAGACAACAAGGGTCCTGTAAATTTGGTGGAGTCCTTGTCCTGGGTCAGCCAGCTGTCAGCCAGAGAAGCCCATCTGTCCGAAGTGCTAACAGGCCTCAGAGAGGCGCCAATCACATGCCAGGCTGAACGGGAACCCAACTTGGTCTTGCTCTCAGCTGCTGAGGAGACCTAGGGTCGGAAACGCCCCTCCCACGGGCTGAGGGCGAGGCCCACCCACTGCACCCAGCTCCAGGGTTGTAGAAAGAGCACAATTAAAGCTCAGGTGGGGTGCATATTCCTCTCCCCTAGAGTGAGTGTTAACTCAAGATGCCAGTGCCAGCGGCTTCATCTTCAGGTTACCAGAGAAGCCTACAGCTTTTCTGAAAGAAAAACGAGTCCTCTTCCATAAAGACTCAACCCGCTATCTTGGCTTTGTGAGACCAGGTACCACAGGAAAGGCTGAAGTCTTTCAGATTGATGCAGAACCATTCTCACACTCGCCAGGATGCCAGTAGCCTCTGGTGTCCATGGCAACGTGGTGCCCATGGCAAAATAGCTCCAGCTCACGTTCACTGGGCAAATTGTCAAATAATATGTTGTCTTTGATATTTTTTAAAATCTGGATTGCAAAAATAGAGGAGCTGTGAACAGTTTGCGTTAGAAAGCCCATTGAAAGCATTGTGAGGCTGAGGAGGCATAAGCAGTTAAACGCGGCACCAGGCCACAGGAAAATAAACATTTCATTTGCTGAGAACTGTGTGTTCGAGAGGCTCGGTGCCGCAGAGAAAGCTGACAGTCTGTTCTTGGTAGAACTGCCTTTCCCTGGTTTTTTCTTTTCTCTCGTTTCTGTTTCTGAAGATTTATTTTTCACCGGAAGCACCTTCTGGCGGCCGTGCGGACGAAGCAGGGTGCAGGACTCTGTGCACGGAGCAGCTCCCTGGGGGAGAACGTAAATGGTCAATTCGAGAACGAATCTGAGACTCTGAACAGTCTGCGTCTGTGTACAAAAGCAGTTTAGCCATCGAATGAGAAGCATAAGCAAGGAACCGTTTGGGGTTTTTTCTTAGGCAGAACACAAAACAACAGGGTGTATATGCTTTCTTTGCCTTTCGTTTCCTTTCAAAGAAATCTCTTGTAAATGACAAAACTGTGAAATGGGTTGCCAACCGTTGTTGCCCTTCGTTAGATGCTTCCAGCCGTGTGAATCTGAAACGGGACCCTGTCCACACCTGGGCCTTTCTCCCGGGAGAGGGGACCTCATCCAACGATGTAATTACCATACGCTTGCTATTAAAGAGCCTTCCAAACACCGTGGCGGTTGCCTCTTTCTTACTCCCTGCACCCTGGCTGGTCCTGGGGGGCACATCCTGTGATAAAATCGGGAGCAAGAATAAGGACCATTGGCCAGCTTTGTGGTTGCTGTTGTTGGGCTGGTGGCGGGAAGGGGTGGGTGGTGATGAGGGAGAGAGGGAGGGGTATAGGAACCACTGATAGGATTCAAATGTTAATAATGGATGTGTTTTGAGAAGTGAATGTACCTATTCTGATGCCGTTGCTGGTATTCAGTAATTTTCCACTCTTCCTTCACACTAGTCCTTTAGGTTTATATGTGGGGACCCTTTTTTTCCTCTCCTACTTAGGAATCCTTTGTGGCATCAATTAGAAATTGATGTGGTCGTCCTATGATGACATTGACACCTTTTCCCACTACTTTCCTCCCAGTGACTGCTATCCGGTAAACAATAGCATTTAAAGAATAAGTCTGCCAGTTGGTGGGAAGTCCCATTATTTGATGAAGAATAACTTTCTTTCTTCAAATGAATAGGTCTCTATAGATTGTGAAATTAGGTTTGCGACCGCCTTAATAGGCCAGCATATTGTGTGTGTGTGTGTGTGTGTTTTAGATAACGTGTGGTTCTTTGTTGTCAACGTGCCTGTTGTTGGCAATTGTGCAAGCGGCCCAAACCTCGCTCAGTCCCATTCTGACTCAGCTGGGTGCGGTATGGTCTTCCCCAGACAAAGCCTTTCTTATGGGGAAATTCCCTTATTACTATTACTTGATCACTCACAGGTATGCTTTTTAAAACTCAGATTGGCTTCTTTTTTTTAATCCTCACCCGAGGATATTTTTCCATTGATTTTTAGGGGGAGTGGAAGAGAGAGGGAAAGACAGAGAGAAATATCGATGTGAGAGAAACACATTGATTGGTTGCCTCCTGCATGTGCCCGGACCAGGGCCCGGGCTGGGGAGGAGCCTGCAACCGGAGTACAAGACCTTGACTGAAATCAAACCCGGGACCCTTTGGTCCTCAGGCCAACACTTTATCCACTGAGCAAAACCGCCTAGGGCCAGATTGGCTTCTTTATTGAAATGCAGGGACTGGCATTAGAACAACCCCCATTTCCCCCTTTTCAGTGATCTCTGAAGTCGGTGGGCTGGGGGAAAAGGTTGTGTGACCTCAGGCATGTCACCTCTCCCCACCCCTCATCTTTGTTCCCTCATCTGTAAAAGTCAGACTATGGCCTCCTCCCAGGTCCCCTCCAGGCACTCACATGGCGGGATGTGTGTTGTCTTGGCTGATGGGGTGGGGAGGGTGGGAAGCAAAGTGAATAAGGAAAATACCGTCTCATGCCAGCGGGCTGGGCGACCTGATATTGGCAAAACTGAATTTCTCTGAGTCTGAGCCCATCTTCCCTGGGATCCCTTTCAGACATAACGACCCAGTCAAAGTAGTGGGTGCTCATTAGCCCCAGTGCTGACATCGCTGAATTCTTTCTCCTGACCTCCTACACTTCCCTTCTCTTTGTGATCAATAATCCTATATAATAAAAGCTTAATATGCTAAGTGTCAGGTTGTCCATACAACCAATCAAAGAGTAATATGATAATGATATGCTAAGGTCGCTCAACTGCTCACTATGACATGTACTGACCACCAGGGGGAAGACACTCTGGTAGGTTAGCTTGCTGCTGGGGTCCGGCTGATCAGGACTGAATAAGACAGGCCGGATGTGCCCTCGAGCCCTCCCACAGTCCCTCCCTGGCTAGCCTACCTCCTGCATCGCTCCCCAGCCCCAATTGCGTACCAGTGGGGTCCCTTGGCCTGGCCTGCGCCCTCTTGCAATCTGGGCTAAGGGACCCCTTTCCCCCTCCCCCCCAGTGCATGAATTTCATGCACTAGGCCTCTAGTATGGAATAAAAAGCTATGACCAAAATGGAAGAGTTGGGGCATTTTGTTTAGGGATACAATGAACAGTCACGTTGCCTTTAGGAATGAGTCTCGTTTCCAGAGTAAAGTCAGGCCGGTGGGACACCTTATTGTCCCCAGAGTTCGGTGTGGACATGAATGGGCTCAAGTGAAGCAAAGTAAGCCAAACGAAGCCCACTACCCAGAGTTTGGAGCAGCCCTGCAGAAGTAGGGGCACCATCATCCCTCTCTCCCTTGGGCAGGCTTGGCCGCCTGGCACCTGGGAAACTCGAGACGTTCACCCCAAAATAGCTGGCACTACAACTTCAACCCTCAGTCCCATGGCAGGCAAACGGCTGTGAAACACTGGACATCTGGCCCTCCGTTTTTCCTTAGAGCAGAAAACAATGCCATTCCTAAAAATCGGAGCAGGCTGTAATTAGGCCGCCAACAAACAAGGCAGGCATTTCCTATCAGGTACATGTAAAGAAGAGAGGTGGTTATTCCTTATTTTCTAGGAAAATCCGCCCATAGCCCGGCCTTGGAAACCAGCCAGAGAATGCAGTGGGTCCTTCGGGATGCGTTTTAATGGGGAGCCTCTAGGGGTCAGCACCGCGTCAAGGAAGGGCGCTCTGGTCCGGGATAGTCCGGCCTGTTTCCCTGAGTGCGGGAGCGAGCGGGCTGACCTCAAAGGGCAGGAGAGGAGAGAGCGGCCCAGGCAAACACAGCGGAATGCGCAGAGACCTTTTCCTGGACATAAACCCTAACTTTTGGCTCAGGTTGTTTTTCTCTCCCCTGCTTTCCTCCTTTGCATCTTCCTCCACAGCTCCAACCCCTGTGCGCACTGTCAGCTCCATAAACTTGTCCTATTGACCAATCAGTGGCGCGTGGCACTTAGCTCCCTCTGGAAGGCTGGGGAGACGCAGAGGGGGTGGACAGAGCAGTTCCTCCGCTCTGTGTGCCGAGGCAGCCTGGGCCTGCTGCTCATTAGCCACAGACTCTTCCAGACCTGCAACTCCCACCCCAGCTGCAGGGCCCCGGGGGCAGCGCCGGACCACAGGCTTCTACTTGGAACCCGCACCCAGCTCCCGGGGGCTGCACGGGTCAGGCGTGGTGGTGGTGGTGGTGGTGGGGGGGGGGGGTTGAGCATTTAGAGGAGACCTGGGCATAATCGATGAAGTCGGGAGCCCCCCAAAACTGGTGGGCACTCCTGGGGGCTCTGGGGCACAAGACCAGAGGACACCAAGTCCAAACCCAGAGGCAGCCTGGGGAGCCCCCAGCTGCTCCCAGAGTTGCCCTGGGGTTGCCTTTTAGCCCAACAAGGAATGGAAGATCGGGGCCAGCAGATTTGTTGAAATTACTAGTGACTCTAAAATGGAACCCGAGGGCCGGGCAGGGCTACAGAAAACCAGCCTGCCCTCCTCACTACCTGCCGTCCTTGGTCCTGCCCAGGGCAGAGCCCTCCTCAAGGCCATTGCAGACTCTTCTAATAACAGAAGGGGCTGCTCCAGACTCTTCATAATGAAGGGGCTTTGAGCTTCCCCTGGAATAAAGAGCAGCAAAATCCACTCTGTGGTCAGGCCAGGGCTGAGCAAGAACATAGTGCTTCCTCGTCTGCTCACACCTGGGAACGGGCAGTAGCGTCACCATCATGCGCCCACAGCTTCCAGCTCCAGCCTGCCTTCTAGAACTTTCCTTCCCCACCTCTGTGCAGAGGCAGCGTGCACACCCTCAGGACCCTGCCGCGGCTGGGTAATTCTCCTGCGTGTCTTAGATCAATGCATGGAGATTGGAGAGCACTTTTCAAAGGCAAACTTCATTTACGCTGAAGCTCATTTGTTTGTCTGAATGATCTACCGCCATCACCACCACAACGTTTCTGTAGGAAACATTGGTGCCCACACCTGCTTTCCTCAATTCTGAAGGCCTAGCATCGTCACCAGCTCCCTGTGATGGTGATCAGGACCCCCTGGTCCTGGCAGGTGGGCATGGGCTCCCTGGTGAGCGGCTGCAGAGGCTGTAGAGGCTGCAGGGAGCAGGAGGTGCCAAACCCAGGAGGGGTGCTTTTCTGTCCTCTGATGCTGCAATGGGAAAGGGAGGGGAGCGCAAACGGTGAGTCGGAGACAACCTTTGAACATGTAATCCTGCAAGGAACACGAAGCTGTGCGGGTTCGGGAAGTGGAGGGGACAGTGTCTCCTAGGGATGAGGAAAAGCTGGTTTCCCAGATTGGACTCTTGCTCCCAGATAGCCTTGGTCTTTAAACCTTTCGTTTCCCTTGCTCAGAAGTGTGAAGGGCCACTCGGAGCCTTGGCTACAAGGGGCTATAAAAATACAAACTGTTGTGAAGAATGGACTTTACATTGGGGTCTGGAGAGTGTCCGTTTCACAGCTCCTGACTGCAGTGCTCCCCGGAATATGAATCTAATTAACCGAAAAGGATGGGGGCCACGTCTCCCGCCAGGTCTCACTCTGCTGCAGGACTTCAAGTTGAAGGCACCCTAATGAGGGCTGTCCAGCCGCCTTTCCCCCCCACATCACCTCCCCCTCCCACCTTGCCGGACACTGAGCACTTTATAATTCAAAGCTCATCTAAATTTCACAGGGGGGTGTAATTCAGTCCTTTACTAGGCACACCACTACCTCAGAAGCATGGCCTTCACATCTGCAGGTGGCCTTAGCTTTCATACTGTGTGAAAAATAACTTACCTAACCCGTGCCTTTTATAAGCGGCCTTGAACAGTGTAACTAAAAGCAGTGATTAGGCTGCGGAGGGGGCGGTACTTGGGGACAGAGCTAAGCAATCCTGGTGTCCTTTTCTTTTTTAAAAATATATTTTATTGAATTTTTACAGAGAGGAAGGGAGAGGGATAGAGAGTTAGAAACATTGATGAGAGAGAAACATCTATCAGCTGCCTCCTGCACACCCCTTACTGGGGATGTGCCTGCAACCAAGGTACATGCCCTTGACCGGAATCGAACCCGGGACCCTTCAGTCGGCAGGCCGACACTCTATCCATTGAGCCAAACCAGCTAGGGCAATCCTGGTGTCTTTTGACGTCCTCTTCCTTCCAAGACTATTTCTGACCCTGGCCAGCTCCCAAGTGACTCCTGGAACTGGTTACCAAAAGGGCTAAGTGAGATCACGGTAGCGATTGGGTGTAGAAGTCTAGCCCACAGGGAACAAACCAGTGCCCTTCTCATGGTGGACGGAGGCGTCTTGTCCGTGCACGCCTTGCAAGCTTTTGAAAAAGATCTGTCAGCCAGACGCAGGCCAGATGTGTCATCTCATTCGATGCTAATGAACTCATCCAACCCGTCCACATAGTCTGGTCTCGGGACTCTGGCCAACCCTTTGCCTAAGCCATGAACGCACATCCCCTTGTTCTGAGCCCCTCTCTCTTCAGTTCCAGAAGCACGCAAACGAAAGTTGCCACGTGCGCTTGAAAATTCTATTTGGAAGCTCATGTTGGTGACTCTGGATAGGATTTGAGAAAAGGAAACAGACTCTGAGTCGGGTATGCTGCCAGCTGCAGAGAGTTCATCTCGCTGGGGGCAGTACTGCCTGCTGCGGAGGACAGTGTTGCAGATGTGGAGATGTGAGACAGATGTGGAGATATGACACAGGTGGGGAGATATGACACAGGTGAGGAGATATGACACAGGTGGGGAGATATGACACAGGTGTGGAGATGTGACACAGGCATGGAGATGTGACATAGATGTGGAGATGTGAGACAGGTGTGGAGATGTGAGAGAGGTTTGGAGATGTGAGACAGATGTGGAGTTTGGAGGACCTATGAGGAGTTCAGAGTTGGACAGGTTAAATTTCAGATGCCCATTAGAGGGCCAAGTGGAGATGCCGAGCAGGCGGTTGGGTGGAGGAGTCTGACAGAGGTTTGGGCATCACGTTTGAAGAGGAGGCTCCTAGGATTTATGGGCGGTGTGAAGAGGAGCTCCGTTAATAGCATACGGTTGGGGCTCAGAGCCAAGTGTGGTGGGCAGCAAAGCCCTGGATTCCTGTGCTCTTGACATGGCTCGTCTATGTATCTAACCCAGTGCAGCGTCTTAACCAACTCTTCCCACCACTGGCTTCACTGGCACCTTATCAAAGGCTCCCCCCTCTCACTCTTAGCACCGCTCCCTGCTTGTCCTCTGAATCGACAGCTCTGCCTGGCTGAACTCTTCCGTGGTCTCTGAGGTTCTCAACTTGCCTTGCTCTTGACATTTTGTCTTTAGCTCCCATTGCTCCAAGCTTCATGGCTGCAGGGAAGCCCTCCCTACTCCTGAGTAACTCCACCCGCCCCTCTCACCCCCGTTCTGCAAACTCCAGCCCAGGCAGGGCCCAGGCCCCTTATTCACTCTGGAGATGTCAACATTTGCACAATTTCTAATTTAATTCCCAGAAGGTAGACATACAGGGTGGGGCAAAAGTAGGTTTACAGTCGTGATTACTCAAAACAGTATATTCTTGTATTTTTTAATTTTGTATTATTTTCCATACAAACCATTTTTAAAAATCAATTTTAACTATAAACCTACTTTTGCCCCACTCTGTTTCTTTATTATCGCTGCCACCTTGACAGATGAGAAAATCGAGGTTTAAAGAGGCAAAATCACCTGCCCCAATCACCCAGATGGGAAGTTTCTTGTTCTATTGCTGTGTGCCAATTTACCACAAACTTCGAAACGTAACACACATCTACAACCTCATTCTGTGCATTGGGAACTTGGACATATTTTATCTGGGTATCCTGTTTCACGGTCTTGTGGGCTACCGTCAGGGTGTCCCCCAGGACTGGGGTTTCATCTGGGCAAGGATCCATTCCCAAGGTCCTCAGTAGTTGTCTTGTCAACAGAATTTGAGCAATTCAGTTCCTTGCCACGGGGTCTTGTGCGATGTAGCTGATCGCTCCTTCAATGCGTGTGAGCTGAGAAGGCAGAGCCTGCAACCTCTTATAACCTAATCTCAGAAGTGACATCCCATCACCTTTGCTGTATTCTATGGGTAAGAAGGAAGTTGCTAGGCCAACCACACTCAAGGGGGGGGGGGGGACTACACAGGGTAGGAAGGGGGAGGGGGATCATTGGGGGCTATCTCAGAGCCAGCCCACCACAGGAAGTAGCCCTTGGGTTTTAACTCAGGTCTTGGGGTTCTTCCTTCTATGCTTGTCTGGATCCTACATGGTTATGCCCTGCTATGGCCTGAACAAAAGGGTGACAATAATATCACTTTGCTCATGTGACTCCATCAACTAAAAAATCTTTCATCCTAGCCAGGGATATTGAGTAACCTGATATTAACAAGCAAAACATGGGACTTTCACCCTAGTGGGTTTTGCTCAGTGGATAGAGCATCGGCCCGAGAACTGAAAGGTCCCAGGTTTGATGCTGGTTAAGAGCACGTACCTCGGTTGCAGGCTCCATCCAGGCCCTGGTCGGGGTGTGTGTGGGAGGCAACCAATCCCATCTTTCCCTCACATTGATGTTTCTCTCACTGTCTCTCCCTCCTCCCACTCTCCCTAAAAATCAATGGAAAAATATACTTGGGTGAGGATTCACGCACACACACACTTTCAAATGAACATGCTTGGAGTGTTGTTTAAAGCTAAGTAGCTGAAGTGATGGGGGAAGGAGCAGATGGCGCGCTGTTATAAAGGCAGCTGATGACAACTGTCATCGCTATTTAAACCGGTCCTGCGTCCGTAGACCAGTGGAAAATAACCTCAGAACGCTCAGCCCATTCATCGAACGCTGCCACCCGGAGGAGGAGGTGGGTCAGAGGAGGAGGGGATAGCCACCACAGCATCACACCAGCCTCTCTCTGAGCCACCTTCTTCCCAGCCACACGGGTACACACAGCTCCCAGTCTGTGTGACGGACCGGCCCCTGACGGACAGAACATCCTTCCGTGACAACAGCTGGGGGAGAGGTGAGTGCCAGCCCCCTCTTCCTACCCCCACCCCAACCAATACCACTGCTCCCTGAGAACTGCTGACCGGACAGCACCCAGCACGGTGGCTTCTCGGCAACCCCATGACAGTCTCAGGCATCCTCCTGCACCTGTTCCTGGGGCTCCTGCTGCGTTGGCTCCCTTCCTACGGCTCCCCGCCCCTCATGATCACTTCAGTTTCCACCCCCCTCCCATTATCACATCATCTGCACCTTCTGTCTCTAGCATAACCCAGATGGGTGTATTTACCTAATAGCTATTTACTAAGAACTCATTATAGGCCAGATATCCTTCCAGGCGGGGAGAAAGAGATGTTCTTTGTCTGTGGGCATATATGTACATAGATACCTATGACCTAGAGGCTCAGAGCACGGCTTTGAAGTCAGTAACAGTGAACTGTACTTGGGCAAGTTATTTAAATGTTCCTAGCCCCTGTTCCTCTTCTGTAATATGGAGATCGTTATTCCTACTGCTGGGGCTGTTGTGAGAATCACATGAACTAAAATTTGTGGGTAACACTTAGTACCATCCCCAGCACATAATAAATCCTTAACAATATTCCCATGTGATCAGCACAGGCAGACTCCCCACCCTCAGCACTCTGTAGCCTCCAAGAAGGCTAGAGCCACATGTGTCTGGCTCCCAGCTGTGTCCTCTGTATGTGACACAAGCCTGGCACATGGTGAGTGCTCAATAGCCATTTGAAGAATGGCTTAATAAATGAATAAGGAAGACCGCAGTTAATGACAAAATATTTATCTAAAGCAACTTTGCAAGGGGCTCAAAGATCTCTCAGTAGCATCTAACTCCGTTTCAAAGTCCACCTCGGATGATGAGTAACAGGTTTGGCCATTCAGTTAGATGTTTGACCAAGGCCTAAAGGGTTAATCCTGCCTTGCCGGAGACCATACACTGAGTCTGGCGTGGTTAGGAGGTGGAGGAGGAGACTGTTGACTCTCAGCTCACTGCTGCATATCTGGTGTGTTGAGGTCATCTTCCCAGCCTGGCTGACTGAGCAAACAGGGAACAGCCCCTCTGAATGGGGACTTCCTACTTCCTTGTGACCATGGCTCATTTTGGAAAAAACCAATCAGTTCTCCCAGGCCTTGATGCTGAGCAGCTGCCTGCTACTGTACGTGTTAGTCCAAGAGGGTGATCTGACCGTCCCTGGGGTGACTCCAGCGCCCCCAGGGGCTGTTTTCCTGCATGGCAAGGGCATCTGCTCAAGGGTGACCGGCAGCCCTTCTTGGAGAATGATGACAAATCTCGGTGTCAGGTGATCTGGCTCCTAGTCCCAGCTGCACTCACTGTGTGACCTTGGCCTTGTTTCCTTACCCTCTTCGCACTTGCATTTTCTCTTCTGAAAAGGAGGGAATAGAACACCTGGCAAGGATGTGATTGAATGATGTATGACCAAAGGTTCCCAGCACAGTTCCCAGAGAATGCTTGTGGAGTCTGGACCTGAATGCAGGGCCAGCGCTAACCATCCTCTGTGGTGACAGGCCTGGGAGAGTCTTCTAGTCCCCATCTCTCCCCATAGTCTGGCCTAATTCCCATCGCATGTTGGGCGAGACAGTGATTTTCAAGCTTTATCTCCCAGAAGGACTCTTTTGTCAAGCAAACTGAACATGGACTAGAACCGAAGCACACGAAACTAAGAAGGGGGAGCTCACTTGTCAGAGCAGAGCTAGATCTTGTCTCTGATCTGCCCTCAACATTGTGTAGTGGCCTCGCATCTCTCTCCAGAGGCCCCAAAGCTTCCCAGAGCTTGGTTTGAAAACAGCTGAACAAACAAACAATAACAACAACTGAACTAAAATTCCTATATGGTCCCTGTCAAAGCAATAATACTATCAATACATTATCATAATATAAATGCTACCTATTATTATTATCATGGCTGACATTTACTGCAGTGGTTCTCAAACCTTAGCTTACATCAGAATCACCTAGAAATCTTATTTAAAAAAAGACTGTTGGGCCCCAGAGTTCCTCATTCAGTAGGTTTGGGGAGGGGACAAGAGCTTGTAATTCTAAGGGATTCTAAGTGATGCTGACACTGGAGTCTGGGAACCTATTTTGAGAACTGTAGGTTTACTGCGTGATTTCTATATGTTAGGCACTATGCCAGGCATTTTTTACCTGGAAAGTTTCATTGAATGCTCACAACTACACTTTGAGGTAGGAATCGTACTATTTATATATCTTATTTAGAGATGAAGAAACCAAAGCTGAGAGAGTCTAAGTCAGCGGTTCTCAACCTGTGGGTCGCGACCCCTTTGGGGGTCGAACGACCCTTTCACAGGGGTCGCCTAAGACCATCGGAAAACACATATATAATTACATATTGTTTTTTTGTGATTAATCACTATGCTTTAATTATGTTCAATTTGTAACAATGAAAATACATCCTGCATATCAGATATTTACATTATGATTCATAACAGTAGCAAAATTACAGTTATGAAGTAGCAACAAAAATAATTTTATGGTTGGTGGTCACCACAACATGAGGAACTGTATTAAAAGGTCGTGGCATTAGGAAGGTTGAGAACCACTGGTCTAAGTGACTTGCTCAGGGTCTTACAGCTATTAAGTGGCAGATTCCAATCCACTTAACCTTTGGTTAAGTCCTTGCTCTTAACCAAGATGTTAAAATAAAAATGTGTTACAAGAGATGGCTACAGTTATTCCCCTACACTTATTTGTATGTATTGACCCAGTACTGATAAGTTAATGAAATGAACTGGCTCTCGGGGGAGGGGTTCCTGCATAGTTGAGATTTGACGGAGAACAGAAAAATAAGGCCAAATGGGGATGGCTGAAGACCAGACCATTGCTTATGATGGTCTGCCCACCTGGGTACCCTGGGGATATTGGCCAAAAGAGGCAGTACTTGTGACAAAGGACAGAAAACATATTTTACTGTATTCATTTATTTATTACTTCATTCATTTACAAAATACTTAATCTCTACTGTATGCTGAATGCTGTATAGAGCTTGATATATAATGAGAAGTAAAAATAGATGTCGTCCAGGACCCTTGATGTCTATAGTACACTTAACATAATTAAATCTAGTGACAATTTTGCCCAAATCTTGAAATCTTGATATTCAGCTTTGGCCACATGATTCTCTTCTATTCCAGCCCATTGGTTCTGACTCTCTCAAGTCTTATTATCTTACACTATTCACTCTGTTTGTGGGCCTAGTGAATTTCCATTCTGACTCATGCAGTTCAACCCAATTCTGACGTCATGGTCTCAAAAGTCTGCCTTCTCAATAGATGTTTTATATCCTTGTTTATGGACAGGATCTGACTGATGTTTGATAATTGGTAACTTGGACATATGACTAATGGATAGATAGAAATTTTTTTTAAATGGTCTGCTCTTGTGTTCTCACTCATTATTGCTAATTACCCAAGGTGTCTGATGTGCCAGATGGACGCTTAATGAATGGCCTAATGACTGGATCTGAAACGCCATATTCCGGTTCAAGAGAACCGTGGTCCTGGGAGTGGGGTTCGTGAAGGTCTCATTCCGTCATCCATTCACCTTTCCTTTTAGAGTAGGTTTGAGGAGGCCCAATTAGATCCAGAAGTCCATCTGGTGCTGTTTGATTCCAAGGGAATTTTCCCCACATCCTGAGTTTAGCATGTTTCCTGTAAAATCTCATGTTGGGGAAAACTGTCCTACTTGTTCCAAGTTAGATTTATTCCTTTTGGCAATGTTATGACTTATTTTAAAAGTACTAGTAGAGAGGCTAAGTCTTGACAACTGAAAAGCCAAGTTTCGAGGGACCATATGGGAGAAAGAAGAAGAAAAGGGAGAAGGAATGCTAGGAAAGAAAAATCAGTGAGAAATCCAAGATTGATGTGAAACAGTTTTCATAATGAGCTGAAGAGAACCGCTAGGCTGCCTCCTAGGGACACAAGTTCCTGCTATCTGTTCTGCAGGTGTGTTTGCATTAAAAACAAAACAAAATTTAAGCTTCAAAGTAAACACTCACCATTCAGGGCAGACATAGGGACTCTTTGCTTTGAACAAGTGGCAGCAGCCAGTTTTCTAGAGTTGGTCTGGAGAAAGTTTTTGAAACAAAGATTGTAGTGATAGCTGCTGGCACATGGGCTGTGGAATGAAATAAGTGCTTTCCAAGAGAAAAAGAAAAAAAGGAACTATTAGAAGAAGGGAAAAAAAGAAGAAGCCACCCACACATCCAGTTCTTTTGGTTAATGTCAGATTTTACTCACCAATCCTAACAGACCCACCAGTGATCACTCTTATTTGGGCATTTCTAGGGGAAAAGAATCCAGTCTGTGAAAAGTCCCAGTGGTTGTGTTATGAAAGATGCTGTTTTTATTTTGGCACAAAATTAGCCTGGGCTGAAATACCCACAGCTAGATCATTCATACTGCCTACTCATGCCTGGCTCTGCCCTTGCTTTTGGCAGGGCACCCCTATAGTATGCCTTGGCCCTCTCCCCAGGTTACCTGGCCAGGTCCACATCAGCGCAGTGGGTGGAGGAAGATAAAGAAGATGAGTTGGTATAGCTGAGTGTTTAAGAGCTGAGGTTCTAAAGCCAGAAAGATCTGGGTTCAAATATCAAATCGGCCTCTTACTATGTGACCATGGGCCTCAGTTTCTTATTCTTGAGGCTTAGGCTATTGAAAAGTGAAAGCCTACATCTGAAAAAAAAAAAAAAAATATATATATATATATATATATATATATAGAGAGGAAGGAAGAGGGAGAGATAGAAACATCAATGATGAGAGAGAATCATTGATCAGCTGCCTCCTGCACACCCCCTACTGGGGTTTAAGCCCACAATCTGGACATGTGCCCTGACCAGGAATCGAACCATGACCTCCTGGTTCATAGGTCGATGTTCAACTACTGAGCCACGCCAGCTGGGCCAAAATAGACTTTTTAATGTATTTCTCAGCTTTCTGCAGTGTCTCTTCATCTCTGAGGCA